AACTGCAGCAGCAGTAACCAAAGTAAAACTGAAACTTAGAGTTCCTTTGTCATCTTTCCTCATCTTCAGGTTTTTAAGATACTTGCCAAACTGGGCAGGAAAAATTTCTATCGAACTTACTCCAAGCAAAAATAACTTAGTCATTGCACCAACACAAGACCCATTCACTATTACAGACGTAAAGGGAACAAATCAAACATCATTCGCCGAATTTTGCAAAGACAAAGTTGACTTAGACTTTGGTTTCTCAAACTTCAACAATGAAGTAAACTATTATTTCAATGCTGCTGGAACTGCTTGGGACCCAGTTAAGTTCACATGCGAAAAATTTGAATGCAAGAGAATAGAAAGCAGACTTGCAGTCTATATGTTGGACCCAGATATTTCAAATGCTTTAGCTGCCAAATATATTGCAGTTCCACTTATGTTCCCTATACACCAAATATCTGTCAAAGACTTTGCAGGTGAAGTTGGAAACCAAAGTGCTGACCCAGGTGCAAGAACAGATATTGCTTTAACAACTGCAATGAAAATGCAGATACTATGTTTGTACTGTTCAGACGAACTATAAATGACTATTCTTGTTTCTACAACCCCGGTATTAAATATCATATAAACATAGATGGCAAATATTATCCAAGAGAAGAATATTCTACAGTTGAGGATATGATCATACAACTTGACATTAGATGCTATGAACTTTAACAACAACTTCACAACAACCATTAACCTGAAATGCAAAGTTCTATTATGCCATATGTGAAAGTATGGACTCATACAGGAGGTCAAAAAATCAATATACAAATGGAGACCGTTCAAACTTTTGGCTTGGCATTCCATTTGCTGACTCAGAAGACTTTATGGGTGGTATTCAACTGTTGGTACTGTACAAATACAATATACTGGTGACAGAGACGGTCCAGATGAACTGAGAGCAAAAGAAGTTTACAAAACCAATAGCACTTTTCACGGAAGATGCTCTTTTTGAAGATTCGTTCGATGAAACCTGCTGGGGCTCCTCAGATTGGCATAACGACAGCTTCCATCGAGCAGATTTTGGCAGCAGGTCAGTAAGTTGTTCTTTGACACTTTTCTCACCATCGTAAATAGTTATGACACCTGTTTTGACATAATATTGTAAGATAAACTTACCTTTAGAAATATCTGTAAGTTTTGTTGTTATATTTTTGTCAACATCAAGAACTTTCACCATTTCAGTTATACCAACTTTCTTTGCTTTATGAAAATATTTTGGTTCAGCAAATATTGCTATTCTATAACATTTACCATTGTTTGTATAAAGAACTATTCTGTCAATGTATTTGTATTGTTTGTGTGTGTAAACTTTGTTTTGCCAATTCAATAAGATATCCGAATACGTCCATCTTTTTATTCTAAGTAAAATGTCATTTCCGAAAAATAGAAGCGTAAGTGTTTCAAAAGGTTTAATGGCGGTGAGATGTGAAGTTAAATTCACCAACTCAAACAAACAGTCAAAGTGTTATTGTCAATGTCAAAGACAGAGATGTTGAAGTGGGGAAACCATACGAAGACGAAGATGGTATAACAATTGTTCCTGTAAAAGAACAACCAACATATCCTGAAGTTAGCAGAGACTTAAGTTCTGTTGCAGATATTCGAAACGACTACCAACAACTGAAAGACAAACTTCAAACTCAGGAGAAGATTTGTCAAGCTTTAGGTATAATGTTAAACTTGGTCGAACACAACCCTGTAAAAGTGAACTCATATGTCATTGCACCTCATGAAGTCTTGAAAGAACTATTGAAACTTTTGACAGAGGCAGACGATATAAACATCAAAGAAATAGAACCCGACATTAGTTGCTGTGGTGTTTCATATAATGTCATTGACAAGATATACGTTATGAAAGGAGGTGAAACGTTGAACTTAAAGTATAGTTTCCCAGACGTCATAAAAATATTTGACGACCACAACATTTCATTAAAATTTATTTGCTAAGTAAATGGCAGAAGATATAATGGTTTATACTATTACGACTAAAAACCCTGAGTCATATAATTCTATAACAACAAACTTACAAAGTCCTCAAGGACGATATTGTAAACTAACCTTAAACACAATGACGACTAAAGCCTGTTTTGCTCTTTTGACACCAGAAGACTTTATTGTTGTGAATGGTAAAAAATACTCCTTTGAAGATACTTACTCAGATATACCACCAACAGGTTTGTTGACTTATTTAATACTTTAAGGACGGGTGTAACATGTGCTGCAACTAGAGCAGGTTTCATTATGTTTGGATGTCCGACTGAGTTTACTATAAACGATATGAGCTATAATACAAAACTTATTTCTGGTTTTTACTACCAACAGTTTCCTATAACAGGAAAAGGTGTCATACAAGGAATGTCTATTCCATTGACATTAAGCACACCAATCTTATATATTGTTTCAAACTTAGGTTCAAAGTGTTATTCGAATGTCGACAGAAACTATTATGACCAAAAGATACTTATGCGTATAAACAATACTTTCTCTGCTGGTTTGCCTATTGTTCATTCGAATGCAGAATTTTCAAACCTTAGGTGAACTCAAACACTTTGGCAAGTATAACGTTGACATTAGTTGACGCAAACTTTGTTCCTGTAAAACTTTTATGTCCTATGTATTTGTCAATGACGGCAGAAAGTTTCGAATTGGAAGATGCAACTGGTGAAAGTATTGTATTACAAGAACAACTTCAACAACAAATAGCTCAAGAACAACAAATGCAACAACAAAGTCAAGAATAAAAAAAATATTTTTTATTTTTATAAAAATGTACAGAATAGATGTTTCAGATTTTTATGACTTCCAAGCATTCAGAAATATGTGTCCATTTCGAGACTATAACAAAGCAGTCGAGAATTTGAAACGTTTAGTCATTTATGTCGACTCTGCCCAGAATGTTATGTCATGAAAGAATGGGATGTAGTCTTTAACAAACCTAAAGCAACAATAGTTTCAGAACAAGAATGTAGACAGAAACTTAAGAAAATAAAAGTTGTACAAGTTGGCATGAAGATGTTAGATGCTTGGGATATCTATTGTCAAAGTTAGAAGATTTTTCAGTTCGAGGTATAAAGTTCTATACACCTTCTCCAAACTTCTATTCTATCTTCACTGGATATAAATACGAACAAGTAGAATGGAAAGAAAATATTATAGAAGCTTGGTTAGACCATGTCAAAGAAATTATATGCAATGGAAACGAAAGAGTCTATGAGTATATCTTATGTTGGTTTGCAAACATCTTACAACATCCAAGTGCTAAAAATGAAACTGCTCTCATTATAATTGGAAAAACAAGGAACTGGTAAGAACACATTCTTTACAGATATTTTGTGCAAACTGTTAGAGGGCTATTCGAACCCGAATATGACAAACTTAGAAAACATCTGTGGCAAGTTTAACTCCTCAATAGAGAATATGAAACTTATAGTTTGCAATGAACTTCAAAGTATAGATACAACAAAAGTTTTGAACTCAGATGCTTTGAAGAGTCTTATAACAGACAAAGTTGGAGTTGTTGAAAGAAAATATAAAGACCAAAGAGTTGTGAAAATGTTGCAAACTTCATTATGGTTTCAAACAATTCTGTTCCGATGAAAGTTAGAAAGTTCTGACAGAAGATATGTAGTTGTCAGAACGTCAGAAGCTCATATGCAAGATACAGAAATTTTTGACGACTTAGCAGAAACTTTGACATCTGACTTTTACAACCACTTGTTCTCATATTTTATGACATTAGATATTTCAAAGTTCAATCCAAGACAAATTCCACATACCGAAGAGAGACAAACATTGTTAGAAGCAAACAAGAGTGTATATGAACTGTTCATAGATGAAACTGACTTTGAGTGTTTAGATGAAAGGTCATTGTACGATTCGTATAAACAATATTGTCAAGAATATGGTTATATGGCAGCTTCTAAACGAACATTCTTGGCAAATGTCAAAAGTCTTTTAGACGTACAGAAAGGTGTATATACAAAGAAAAATTTTTATGAGTAAATTTTAAAAAAAAATATTTTTTTATCCGATAGAAAAAGATGGCAAAATTCATCTCAGTAAATAAGTACATGTCAGGACTTAAAGAAGAACTAGACCCATTCACATATTTGAATGTTTACTTCTACCATTTTGAAAAGTCTTCATTCAGCAAAGTTTGGAAACATCGAACCAGTTAAGTTTGCTATTGTGACTAAAAATGGTGCGAAATTTGAAGACTTAGACATAGAAGGTTTGTTAGCAGTCAAAGAAAGTTTTGACAGAAGGTTTTCAAACCTTAAAGAAGGCAAAGCATACAAACTTGTTATACCTTATGAACCAAAGAAAGCAGACGACTATGAATATTATGAGTCTAAAGTTGTAGAAGTTCAAGGTAAATTGGGTAAAAAGATTTTAGAGTCTAAGCCAGTGTTTACTCCTAAAGAGGAAGAGAACATTGACATTGACCCAGAAATGTTCTAAAAATAAAATTTTATTTTTACATGTCAAATTTCTTTTTCTCTGGAACTGGTTCAGGTTCTTTCTTCTCTTCTTCTACTTTCTTTTCTTTTCTTTTCTTTCTTCTTCTTCTGGTGGAGTTATGTCAAATTTGGCGCAACTATATTTATGTAAAAGTTCTTTGTCCTTTAATAGCTCTTCTATTTGTTTTCTATTTCATCTTCAAGAACAGCGCATGTGTCTTCTTTGCATTCTAAGAAATTTTGTTGGACTTCATCTCTCCAATCGGCGTCATCTCTGTCAACAAGTCTGTCATTGACAAATTTTAAGACTGCTCTGCTTAATGTTTTATGGTTCTTGTCATATTCCCAGAAACAGAACTTTAGAACAAATTCACCTTTCTTGTTTACACTATGTAAGATTTTATGGTCGACAGATGTTTTGCTGTCGAAAAGCTTGTCTCGAATATAGATAGCGAAATCGCTAGACATTTTCTAAAAGATAAAAATTTTAATTTTTCTAAAAATATGTTAGAAAAAAAGTTTGCTGACATTGACAAGAAATTTGAGAATGTTTTAAACAAGAACAAGAGGAAGTTAGAAAATGCTCAGATAAAGCCTATACATGACAAGTTCTTATTTGCTCAGAATGGTATAACAGGTCTAATTGCACCACCTGGGTCTGGTAAGACTTTCACTTATCTTAAAATGGCTGCACAACAACAAGAACTAGATGAGAAGAACCCATTCTATGAGTTAGTTGTCATTTGTAGTACTTCTGGTCAATTTGACCAAACCGTCAATTCGTTCAAAGATATTATAAAGAAGTCTAAGTTAGTATGTATAAAAGACTCTGAGTTGTTAGATTGGATAAAGAAGTACCAAAGAAGAGTTTTGAAGTATAATGCTATAAATGAGTATATAAATTCTAAGTTTAAAGACCCTAATGAGGAAATGCAGAGAATATTAGAGAAGAAACACTTCAGAAACAAACAGAAAGAGATAGAATACATTTCGAAGAAATTGCAATCTTACGATTGGAAGACTTACCCTCATAGATGTCTTCTTATCTTAGATGACTTTGCTTCTCATCCTTTGTTAAAGAACAGAGAACAAGATATGTGTCGAATTCTTAAGAAGCTCAGACACTTTAACATCTCAGTTGTCATTTGTGTACAGACAGCAAAGAGTTTAAGTAAGGATGTAAAGAGAATACTTACTGACATTATACTTTTCCCCGGATTGTCCGAAGACGATTTCATGGAACTTATGAAGAGTCCATGGCAGGTAAGTTTGACAGACATGAACTATGGGAGAAGTACAAAGTCATACAAGACCCTCATACTTCTTTCAGAATTCATATCTACGCAAACAAAGTTCAAATTGTAAAAAGTCAAGCTTGAAAAATAAATGTTCATCTACCCTACTTGTTTGAAGTTGTCAAAATACTCTGTTATTTTTTCCTTCAGTAGCGGTAAGTCTTCTTTGAAGGTAAGTATTGTACAACCTTTCATATCATAGTGTGTTTGAGGTAACGTATCTTGAACTATTTGTTTCACATCTTCATTCGGTGTCATTGAAATCGGTAAGTTTTCGCGATAGAACCAATTTCTGTCAGATTTTGTAAATCTTAGCAAGGTCGTAAAAGCTTTTGTTGTTTCTTCTGACTAAATGCAACATAACCATATCTTTATCTTCTTCATTTTCCATCTCTTCAGTATAAATCATATACTTATAGTTCTTTTCCTTTCCTTTTGGTACCGAACGTGGTATTCTTTTCTGAATGCTTTTGTCTTTTGCTTCAAGCTTGTTTTCCATCTCTTCACGTTCTTGTCTATGAATTTCGTCAAGAAGTCTGTAAATATACCAAGCATAACGAGGCGAAGCCCACATTGCAACAGCATTTACAAGAAGTCTATGTACATAATATCCTCTCAAACCGTTTGGCAATTTTTCACGATTTTCATAGAGTTTTGGCGACCCAGAAAAAAGTCGGTCTCGCTGTGCTTCGCTCAAAAGTTCTTGTGTGCTTTGGTTCCTAAACCAGTCTTGTGGTTTCTTAGTATCTGGAGCAAAACATGCTGTCAAAATACTTTGCATTTGGTACATATCGTCTTTGACCGAACGAATGAGACGGAGTTGTTTGTTATACTGTATGTACTCATATTCTTCATTTATAGCTTCATGAACGATAGCAGTTGTTGTGTTCTCTGTTGTTGACATATCTGTCTTTACATACAAAATAAAAAAATATTTTATAAAAAAATTAGCGTTATTTTTTCTATCTTAAGGAAATTCATGATTTTCATAGAGTTTTGGCGACTACGTTTTTTTACGTACTCGCTGTTCTTCACTGTTTTCATAGAGTTTTGGCGACTACGTTTTTTTACGTACTCGCTGTTCTTCACTGTTTTCATAGAGTTTTGGCGACTACGTTTTTTTACCTACTCGCTGTTCTTCATGATTTTCGTACGGAATCTCTTCTCTCGGTTTTCCGAGGGAAGCAAGCATATGAGGAAATTCATGAAATTTGGTCATTTTTCAGCAAAAATAATGTTTAGGTGAAGAGGTGAGATCTCACCTGTTTTTTCACCTAATTTTTCACCTCTTTTTTTTTCACAACCGTTTTACATGGTAAGCGTTATTTTTACATTATGACACGAAGTGAAGGTTGACACTTCGTCAAAAAAATCCCTGAAATCATATCTTACATACAAAAAATAAAAAAAATGACACTTTTTCATTAGATAACTGTTATTTTTTGACGAAGTGAAGGTTGACACTTCGTCAAAAAAATCCCTGAAATCATATCTTACATACAAAAAAATACAAAAAAATGACACTTTTTCATTAGATAACTGTTATTTTTTGACGAAGTGAAGGTTGACACTTCGTCAAAAAAATCCCTGAAATCATATCTTTACATACAAAATAAAAAAATAAAACTAACTTTATTTTCTGACTTTCACAAAAGACCAAAAATAAACGCTTTACATGTATTTTTCAGCAACTTCGTCAAATAATTTTATAGCTTTATCTATCTCATCTACTTCAAACGTTTTTACCTTTTATGGGAGCACCATACATTTTCTCAAACTTTTCAAGTAGTTCTGTTTCTGCAGCTCTCATATCATTAACGAACACAACCTTGACTCTATTGACTGTACTGTCATATCTTAGAGTTATATTATATGTTCTTCCTATCTTATATCTTTTTGTGTAGAAGTCCTTCGGTTTCTGAACGATGTAAAGTAAGCCTTCACTGCAACGTTCCGTATCGAATGAACCATATGTTATGAAGTTATATCCAACAACTGGGTCTAACCATAACAAAAACTATTGTATAAGACTTTTGTCTATAGATATGCTGCAGTTCCATAGAATCTTACCGATATCATAAGCTCAGGATTTCTTGTCAAAATTTTCTGACTAGAAGCAATTCTAACCCAGTCCTTCGGTTTCTTTCCAGATGGAGATATAATGTCTGACAAAGAATATTTGTTGTATTTCTTTGAGTATCTTACGTTTAAATCACCTATTCTAACCACTTTGGTGTCATTGTCTATCTTTCTAACTGTTTCAAACTCAATGTTTGTCATTTCTGTTCTTACATACAAAATAAAAAAATAAATAAAAATAAAACTAACTTTATTTTTTCTGTCTTAAGGAAATTCATGAAATTTGGTCATTTTTCAGCAAAAATAATGTTTAGGTGAAGAGGTGAGATCTCACCTGTTTTCTCACCTGTTTTCTCACTTGTTTTTTCGCAACCGTTTTACATGAATTGTACGATGTATATTTGAAATCCTAAACAGTTTCGTAGCTTCTATTTCTTCTGTCAGTATGTCAAAAGTTTTAACGATACCGAAAGTTTCTTTATATTTCTTCTTGACGTCAGATAGAAGGAAATCTTCTGCTGTTGGATAGTTTTTGTTCAGAAATTCTAACATGTCCATTTTATCTTCTGCTGGTTTTTCTGCTTCTTTCTTTAAGTCTGCATAGTCGTTTCTCATACGTTCTATCTCTTTGACGGAGTAGTTATATTTCCTCATTGCTGCTTTACATTTAGAACATTGCGGGTTCATTTTTGCGTTATACATTGAAATAAAACCAGCTAAAACAACTAAAGCGTCAATTGCTCTCTTCATCTCAAACATAGCGGGTCTTATTTGTTTGTTCCATACTTTGCCTCTTCTATCTTTATCTCTTATCTGCCATACACATTCAGCAACTAACGAAACAAAGTTGTCGTAGGTCTTAAATTCTTCAGATTTATATATGTCAGAAACATTCTTATATACCATGTCGCAATCTTTGTCCATAACCTTATGGTTGCAATGAAATCCTAGAAACTCATAGTTTACCTTTCGTATGAACTTCTTTATTTCTACTGAGTCAGTTGCTTTGACTTCTATTTCATCGAATTCAGGAATAGTGAGTTTTTGTTGTTGGATTTCAGGCAATTTGGGTAAATGGTCGATGAGGTCCTGCATTTCATAAAGATACTGTTCATTTGTTTCATCTTTCGCACTACAGTCTAAATTACATGTTAAAAGTTCTTGCTTTATCTTCTGGATTTTTGTTTCGAAAGTATATGAAGAAGGAATGAAGCTTTTCATTTCTACTAACATAGATGTTGGATTCATGACTAAAGAGTTTGGTGCTGTTGTTTGAATTGTTGTTGTGCCGATTGTTGACATTTTTATTTTTTTATACAAAATAAAAAAATAAAAAAAAATAAAACTAACTTTATTTTTTATTTCGGGAAAATTCATGAAAATTCAAGAGGTGAAAAAAGAGGTGAAAAAACAGGTGAGATCTCACCTCTTCACCTAAACATTATTTTTGGGTCCTTTACACTCATTACGAAGAAGTCTTGACAAAACATTTACGTTCATGTTTGACAAAACATTTACGTTCATGTTTGACAAAACATTTACGAAGAAGTCTTGACAAAACATTTACGAAGAAGTCTTGACAAAACATTTACGAAGAAGTCTTGACAAAACATTTACGTTCATGTTTGACAAAGCATGTACGAAGAAGTCTTGACAAAGCATGTACGAAGAAGTCTTGACAAAACATTTACGAAGAAGTTTTGACAAAACATATACACTCATTACGATGAAGTTTTGACAAAGCATGTACGTTCATGTTTGACAAAACATTTACGCTCATTACGATGAAGAAGTCTTGACAAAACATTTACGAAGAAGTTTTGACAAAACATTTACGATGAAATCATGACAAAACATTTACGAAGAAGTCATGAAAATTCAAGAGGGTGAAAAAGCAGGTGAAAAAACAGGTGAGATCTCACCTCTTCACCTAAACATTATTTTTGCTGAATTCAGCAACAAAATGAACGAGGTCAGGATGTATGTAAATACATTTGAATTCATTCATAACACCCTTAGTAAGCTCATAAAATGCTTGTTTTGAGGTCGAGCCACTTTTGGCTCCACCGTATTCTTTCAACCAAAACTCAAGAATTTCCTGCATGAATTTTGTATAAAAAGCAACCGTCGGAATTCAGACTGTTGCTATATTCTTCACAAAACATTTACGCTCATTACGATGAAGAAGTCTTGACAAAACATGTACGATGAAGTCATGACAAAACATATACGAAGAAGTCTTGACAAAACATTTACGATGAAATCATGACAAAACATTTACCCGACATTCTCGTCAAATACAAAAAAATGACACTTTTTCATTAGATAACTGTTATTTTTTGACGAAGTGAAGGTTGACACTTCGTCAAAAAAATCCCTGAAATCATGTCTTTACATACAAAAAAATACAAAAAATGACACTTTTTCATTAGATAACTGTTATTTTTTGACGAAGTGAAGGTTGACACTTCGTCAAAAAAATCCCTGAAATCATATCTTTACATACAAAATAAAAAAATAAAACTAACTTTATTTTTTCTATCTTAAGGAAATTCATGACAAATTCAAGAGGGTGAAAAAAGAGGTGAAAAAACAGGTGAGATCTCACCTCTTCACCTAAACATTATTTTTGGGTCCGGGAACAACTTTCTCTCAATTGGAGCTGTAGCATACTCTTTGCGTAAGCGGTTCAGACCTTCTTCGAAGTCTTGGTCTCTCTTGGACTGAGATTGGAATTGGAATTGCTGGGGTGGAGCTTGCTGGAACATCCAAGGGTTGGGGAAGTAAGGCATAGGCAGAGGAGGGTAGTTCGGGAAGCCTTGTGGTGGGTAGTAACCTTGAGGTGGAAATTGGTAGTAATTTGGTGGAGGTACTTGCTGGAACTGAGCTTGCTGAGGAGACTGTTGTGGTTCTTTAGGTTCATCTGGTTTGGGAATGGACTGGGTTGGTGGGACGTGGGACATTCGTTTGTGTCCTGTCGGAAGGAAGAACTTTTCCTGTCGGAAGGAAGAACTTTTCCTGTCGGAAGGAAGAACTTTTCCTGTCGGAAGGAAAATTTTTTCCAGTTGTCGGGAAAATTTTTTTCTGTTGGAAGGAAAAACTTTTTCTGAAGTTCGACCAAAAAGTTCTCAATTTTCGAAAATTTGAATGGTTTACGGACGGACAACTGGAAGAGTTCTTCCTGTCGGAAGGAAAAATTTTTTCTGTCGGAAGGAAAATTTTTTCCAGTTGTCGGGAAAATATTTTCCTGTCGGATGGAAGGACTCGGAATGCCAGAAGGATTTGACGAGGCAATTTACCTAATTGAACTTAACGACTGCGTAAAAGACTACTTGCGCAAGGTCATGAAGCCCCAAGGTCAAGTTCACCACTATTTCTGGAAGGGCTGCCTTGAATCTCGAGACTTCGACTGGAATTCCAATTCAAATACCAGAAAACACTCCTTTCGACGACATAAAGCAAGCAAAGAAAGAAGCTCTTGTTAAGTTCCTAAACAAACGTCCTTGGATACTACTTCCAAACAAGGAGAACCCCCTACCCATATGAAATTGGCAATTCAGTCTCTCCTTCGCTTCTCGGGTCAACCATTCTACATAACCTGTGAAGGCGACATCCAACCAGTTCAGTAAACCTTAACGTTTAACTGCACTTTTTTATGTTTTTTGTGAAAGTGTCAAAAATAAATTGTTTTCATGAGTTTTCTACGATGTTAGAAAAAATGTTATTTTCTAATATCTTCACATTCAATACTTTTTCAGCACTTTTCCGTAGTTATATATGAAAGACAATTCGAGATAAAAGTCATAGTACAATGGAATAATATGTTGCACACCATTTGTTGTGAACCAACTTGAAAGTCAGAGAAACTGTTACTAGGTGGTTCGTAGAATTTAGAAGCAAAGTCATAAAAGTCCTTACCATACATAGAAAACTATTGTTGCTTGAACTGAACTTGCATGACACATAACATTTTGAGGGTCAACACGTTTCTATAAACTGTCAAATCTGCTGGTGGAAGTATAAATTTAAATGGACCATCTGGTGGTAATGGTTCGTTCTGGTTTAGTAACCGAAGAAATTGTGCCCAAGAACGTTTGTCTACTTTCCAAAATAAAACTCTGTATCTCTTGGAGGGTTAATTTCAATCTTTTGAAATGAAACGGTGGAGTTCATCTTGTCATATTCTAGTTTCAGATAGTATGTTCCATTTAGTAAAGAGTCGTATTTTTCTTGAAATTCCCAATAATATTTGTTCATTTGAGTTTGAAAGTCATTTAGAGTTTTCTCAAGACTTTCGTCTGAACGAACTGTAAAGATTCTCATTTCGTCAAATTTGTCTATTAGACCATCAGAACCTTTATACTGCCCATGAAAATATACTGCGAACATAAATGCGTTAGTTCTATTTGAAAACAAAACTCTTCTAAATCCTATTGCCTTTGCATCTGAAGGACTTTGAAGCCAACGAATTGGATAGTCAAACCTGTATACTCGGGATGAAATTTCTTCATCTGAAATAGTCCTACCAGCATTTGTAAAGATATAGTCTAACGGTTTTGTATCTGCTACTTTTGTTCTTTGTTTTTCAACCTGAAGCATTTAATATATGTAAAAATATATTGTTTTAAATGGTATGCATTTCATATTTCTCATCTAACAAACAAGTTTCCCAACGGTCTTCTCCAACAAACTCAGCGTACATTTCAAATAAAATTTAAAAAATGTCACTTTTTTAAAATAAATTTTTACTTCATGCAATGTTTAACACATCGAAAGGCATGTCCATAAGACGTTCTTCTTCTAACCTCTCTAGTCTGTTTGGATAATTTGCACGTGCTGTTTCCAAATCCATTTCGTAGCGAAGACCAGACAATTTGTCATAGACTTTTATGGGTCTTCCTTTCTTATATTTAAACTTCTTCGAAACTCTCCAACCATATCTTTGTAACTCTGCTTTTATTCTAGCAGACTTTCTATCCATTCTATATGGGGGCATTTTTATAAAAATAAAAAAATATTTTTTTCTTTACTTAACATAACCGCCTGCTGCCATAAGTCTTTGACGCCAACCCATACCAGCTAATGAAGGTTGACTTGGTTTAGTTTCCAAACTAAACTTTGGTTTTGGTTTATCTTCAGTTTTTGGTTTTTCTTCTTCTATCGGTTTTTCGTCACTTTTCGGTTTCTCTGACTTTACTTCACTTGCAGGAACAGTTGTGTCGTCAACATCTTCATAAATATCATATGCCATTTGTTTTTGTTTTCCTTTCAACTTTTTGTGTTTGTTGTAAAGTTTAGAATATTTCGACTCTAAGTCAATGAGATGTTCTATAATGAACTGTTGGTCAGTGAAGTAAACTTTTCCATCTGTTGTCTCGAAAGCTCCTTCAGACTTCAATATTTTATTTGTGAGAGTCTGTTTCTTTTTTGAGATACTAGCCGTTCCATTTCTATGAAAAGTGACTTTGTAGTTAGGGTTTGTATTTCCAGACCTGGCACTTTCTATTATTGAATTTTTCTCTTCATCTGTAAGTTCTTTGACAGGTTTTGACAATGGTTCTGAACTTTTTGTTTGTGGTGTCAAATCTACCGTTTCAACTTCTTCGGTCATTTCATCTCAGTAAAAAATTTTAGTTTGGTTTGTTTTCAACTGGTTGTTGTTGTTTTTTAAGTCGGTCTAAAACTTCCTGAGGTATAGGAAGAACTTGACAAACACGTGGTGTAACTGCTGGAAGCCGACAAATCCATCTTGAACCCATTTGTCTCAATGCTGTATTGTTCATTTCATCTCAGTAAAAAACTTTACATTCCCCACGTTTGAGGCGGTTGAGGTTGGTTATTGTTTACCACTGTTGTGCATGGTTATATCCTCTGTTAAAGAATCTTTCACCTTGGTCCATATAGTGTCCTGCTTGGTTATAGTAGTCATTTGCTTTGTTATAATAGTTTTCCTGCTTGTCTTCCTACATTGTCCATCCATCCTTGAACTTTTCCTCTTGTTTCAGGATTTGGAATAAGATTTGTTGCATCTCGTGCTACATCCCAACCTTTCTGTACAGTTTGTATAATAGGTTGTGTTTCTCTTTAAGTATACCTAATGTACTCAAAATCTTCCTTCCAACTCCAAATACACCTCTGGCTATTGTTCCCACTGCGGGCAAAATCTGGATGCAACTCCTGCTAATGCGCCAAATAAACCCATTTCTTATAGGATAAAAAATGACGAATCCAAACAAGGACCCCTATGTTTCTAAAGCAACAAAGAAAGCACTCATGATAAAAATCTTTAGTTCAACACCAAATGCTTGGTTTATGGATATCTTGGAAAACATTCCGAGGTATAGAGAAGATGGACCACCATACTGGTTAATATTTGTCGGTCAAAACACAAGATACTGTGAAGCCATACCATTATGGTCCAAAAATATTTTAGATGTGAAAACTGCTTTGACAATATTCGTTGACAAATACCATCCAACAAAACTGACATCTGACTGTGAAAGTTCTTTCAAATCAGATGATGTAAAAAACTATCTGCGTTCAAAAAATGTAAACCAAATTTCATTGTCGACCAAAACCATTCTGCTCTTGGTGTCATTGACGGTTGTAAAAATGTTAAGAGACTTAAACCAACCACAAGGTGGTGAAGCAAATGAAATGTCATATGACGACAAATATAGACACTTCTCCATGGCAAAGATGAGACAAGTTTTAAATATTTACAATAGCCGTAAACAAAAAGGTTTGGGAAACCACTCCCCGAAGAAATGAAAAACAACCCTGACTTAGAGAAAGACTATATATTTAATAATTTAGTCAAAAGAGACAAACAAGAAAGAATGCCGGGCTTCAAACTTCAGAAAGGTGACAAAGTAAAAATAGAAATACCTAAACGCGACCCATATGAAAATACTATTGACTATGACAACAATGGGAACCCGACAGGTACTCACATTCGTGTTCGTAAAAATAGAAGAAAGTATACAAGAGAATATTATAGTTTTAGGCAAACATGGCAAAATGTACACACTGCAAGCAGAAGATAAAACTACTATTGTCAGACCTCGTTTCAAACTTGTCAAAGTTCAAGGTGGTATACTTTCAAAAACAGTTCCTAACAAATATAAGACAACTCCTGACGAATATGCTAAAGAAGTTGAAAATGACGACTAAGCATTCTATACCATGCGTAAACTGTCATGTAAGGTGGCATGTAGTCTTACTTTGTCCCGTTGTTTGCGTATATCCTGAAACGCGATGTGTATGGTTTCCTCCTCCCTCAGTGTTACTCCAGTAACAATTTATAGCAAACTTAACGTTGTCTTTAACATCATATCCTTTACCTTTTATCATTGCTGACCAATCCCAATATCTATGCTTATGCCAACCTGCTTGAGATGTACTTAAATCTATGTAGTGACTGTGTGCAGGTAAATTTTCACCTGAAATCGTTTTACTTCCACCTGTTTCCTTTGAAGAGTTTGCACAATACAAAAACCTGTCGACTATTTGAGTCCAAGTTCCAAAACCAAGTACTACTTCTGGTCTGGTAGAGTTCATTGACGTATAAATAGAGCCTATAGGATATAATGTTTGAAGTATTTCTGTCTTTAATGTTTGAAGCTCTGTTTTGTCTGCTTTCTTGTCTAACATTGCGGGTAGTTCATATGCTTCAAAGTTTCTGGCATGATCTTCGATATTCCTGCAACTCTTATCTAAATTGTTAAGAGTATCTTTTACGCTTGTACTCGGATTCTCTAAAGGTGCACTTGAACCAAGGTCAAAGTTCAGTATTATGTCGTCTGCTCTAACAGTTGTAAAACTTGTATGTGTATGAGTCTTATTTGCTTTCTTCTCTAACTCATCGTTAACATAAGTTTTATCTGCTTTAAGGTCTAAACATCCTGAAACCCATCCTGTATCAGCTTTAGTTTTTAAAATCTTCGATGTCCATTCATGATACCATTCAGCCCTTTCTATAATTTCATTATCTTTTTCATCCACATATTCCTTATCTGCTTTCTTCTCTAACCTACTAGCCACACAATCCTTATCCGCTTTCTTTTCAAGGCTAACGTTTAAGTCTGTTATTTCAGATATAGAATGTGTATGAGTCTTTTTAGAATATTCGTTTTCAGCTCTCGTCACTTCACTTGACATTTTATTGTCAACATATGTTTTGTCTGCTAGTTCAGGATGAGTATGTTCTTTTGTTGCATAAGCATTGTTAGCTCTTTCTTCTTCTTTTGCTATTGCATCGTCTACATATTCTTTGTCAGCTTTGTTGTCAACATCTGCTTTCAAAAGAAGTTCATTTATAGGTTTCTCGTTTAAAGTTCCTTTTGTTGGATTTATACAGACAGTATGGTTCTTATTGTCTTGAAACAGAAACTCATCTGTCATTGGGTTTAATGTCAGTTTTAAGTTTCCTTCTTTCAATGACTCAGATATCTTAGAATAGTTTGAAAAGTTTTTGTGTTCTTATTTAGAGCTTGCACAATGAGTTGTCGGTTGTGTTGTATTTCTCTCATGGAAGCAATATCTTTCGACATTTTTATTCTAGATAAAATATGCTTCCAATAGAAAAAGAAAATTCAAGAGTTGCTACAACTAAACCATTAGATGAACTTTTTACTAATGTCGGTCAAAAGTTTGAGACAGAGACCGTAAAGCATGAAGGCTATCGTTTTGACTACCCATTAAGATGGCTAAGAGACCCATCTGTCACAAAAGCTATTGGCTTTCGTAGAATGAGTTGTGTCTGTAGAAGATAAAAGTTTTCCATTTATTGTAAGGTTTCATATAGATTATATATCTGAAGGGAAACGAAAAATGTGGGAAGAAATTGAGCTAATACAAGTTGACCTTTCATCTTCTCTACAGACTGCGTTAAAAAATATAGAAGATAAAATAAATTCATGTTATGCAAAATATGCTGATGAATATGCAAATACCGAGAGCACACTTTATGTGAGAATTGTATATGAACAAACAAAATTCACAAGTGTCATTTCAAATCTACGAAAACAATCCAAATAAAGACGAACAAATATATACAGAATTCACTGCAATGTCATGGTATTATTTGCAAAGAATGTTAAATCAGAAAGTCGAACTTCCTTTAGCAAATATTTACAGTCGATATGCAAGAGATGAACCATATTTATTTAAAGATGTTTTCGACCCAGCTGCTATTATTGTTCATGCTTCATTTTCTGGCGCCCAAAACTCTTTCTTATGCTTGGCAAATGACTTTTACGAAAAACCTACAAAGTTATACGAACCACCAAGTGGAAGTATTTCAGACTTTCAAGTATGGTTTACTACAGATGGAAGAAAAAGAATAATTCCATTATACCATGCGTTTTACTTAGAACTTAGTTTCATATACAACTACTATCGAACGGTAAAAATATAATTTTTTAATACGGTTGAGGTGTTGGATTTGGTTGCCAACTAGACTGTGGTGCAGGTTCAGGCTGTTGTATAACGGGAGCTTGTTCTTCTGGTTCAGGGTCTTTAGGTATAATACCAACGAACTGACCTACCCTTTTACCAATATTTTTGACACCGTTCCAAATTCCTCTTCCGACAGATTT